TTTTGTCTTTCTTGAGTTTGGGACTATTATGTGTTTAAATAACTTAAAAGGATAAAACTAAAAAAAAAGCCCTAAAAATGAGCGCCGAGCGCGCAAAATATTTTTGTGTTTTTAATTCTAATTTCGTCGGAATTGATGAAAACTATCTAAAATGTGCAATTTATAGAGGAAATTGTCCTACCGTAACAAGAAATGCGCGCAAAGAATTTGAGAATTTTAGGCACTTTCTGAGGATGCATTTGTCAAGGAGTGGAGAAAGATTTCCAAAGATGGATATTTTCCCCTTGACCCCCGGTGTTTTTAATCCTAATTTCGTTGGAATTTATCAAAACCCCCTAAAATGTGCAATTTTTTAAGGAAATTGGGCAATGTTAACAAGAAATGCGCGCGAAATTTGAGGTTTTTAGGAACTTTCAGGGGATGAAAGGGCGTTTATAAAGGGTGGGGGGTGGGGAAGACTTTTCAAAGATAGATATTTTCTCCTTTTCCCCCAGTGGTTACGCCATCGGGCAGCCAAAGGAGTTATGACAGTTTTTGAAGTGGAGAATGGGTTGCATGGGTGTTGTGAGTCTGGTCATTATGATATCTTCCTTTTTATTCTTGTCTTTATTTTTTTTTATTTTTCTTTCCTTTTCCTCTTCTTTCTCTTTCCCTCCCTCTCCCCTCTTTCTTTTCTCTTATTACCCAGCCCGGTACGACGGCTTGGTCGGCTCGGTAAAAACTGTCAGGGGAGGGGCAGTTTCCCCCTCCCCCCGCGCCTGTTACGACACTGGCTAACACGCCAATCATCCCCCACCCCAATGAAAAATATTTTTCTACGCCACTGTTCTTTACTATCTCAAATCTTTTAAATAACGACTAATTACTTTGCTTAGGCACCTTTAATAATATTACCAAACATCTATTTTTATAATTTTCCTTACGATTCGAGTGATTTTGTGGCTAGGCCCAGTAGTGTCAATTATGTCTAGTAGGGACTCTGAATCAGTAGGGGATAAGTGTGGAGCATGCTAAAATCTCTGATAATGATAAGGCTCTTCAATGTGACTTTTGTTCTTTATATGGTTCCATATATCTTGTCAGTCGATTAATAAAACATATGAATGTCTTGAAAAAGGAATTTCTAGCATTCATTGGTATTGTAGGTCTTGTAATGTCACAATTGGGGGAGTTATGAATTCCTAATTGTGTCTATTAAAAAAACTCAAGAAAAAATGCAGAATGAGATTTCAGAAATTAAACGGAACATGGAGGCAACTGTATCCAAAGATAGAGATTTTATTGATGTTGATAAAATTATCGAAAATAAATTTGAAGAAGAACGGGAAAAATATACGCAAAAAATAACTTAATGATGTGGATTGGAGGAATCAAATAGTGATGTAGCTAATATAAGGGAACCATATGACTTCAAGAAGATTGTTGAAATTGTTGGAAAATAATGATAGAATCCAGACCGAACGCGAGAAATATAGGATATTAAAATAAGAATTAAATGAACGCATTAAAAATGGAGAGAAGGACTTAGATAGATAAGTTACTAGATACGGAAAGATTTCTAAGACGAAAATTCGTGTCTAAAGTAAATACAAGAGAGAATGAATATAATAATAGAAGTAATGTTAGAAGTAATCAGAAAATATTGCCTCAATTTATAATTATAAATTTATGTATACGAACTGTGATTCCCTTTTAAACAAGAAAAGTGAGTTAGAGAATAGAACATCTGTAGAAAGATTAGATTTTATTGCACTTACTGAAATTTTTCCTTAGTCTGAATTTATGTCAGTTGAATTCAGTTTAAATGGTTACCAATTATTTCTCCCTTCAGATGATTTAAGTAGTGGTCGTGGAGTAGTTATCTATGTCAAAAATTGGCATTCCTGCAAATTTGGTTAATTTAGATGATGGTAGCTTTCAAGAATCGGTCTGGATTGAAGTGAATACTAAAGAATCAACATTTTTGTTGGGTTGCATATATAGAAGTCCATCTAGTACTTATATAAATAATAATAATTTATGTTCTTTACTTAATCATGCACTTTATCTCAATTTTTCTGATGTTGTCATTGTTGGGGACTTCAACTTTAAAGAGATTGATTGGGAGTTGGGCTGTGTTAGGACTGATGAAAGTGGATGTGCTCAACTATTTTTTGACTTTCTCCATCAGCATGTTATGGAGCATACTAGATTCTGTGAGGGTTATAGGTCCAGCTTACTTGATTTAATATTTACTTATGAGGATACGATTGATAATGTAGAGATAGGATCTCCACTTGGCAAGAGTGATCACGTAGTATTGACATTTGAAATGCCAGTCTCTTTTAAAGTTCAGGATGTACCGTATGTTAAATCATATATACATGGAGATTATGATAAAATGCAGAGATAATAATTATTGAGTCTGTTGATTGGGATAGAGTTAAACACTCGTTCGGGGATTGAGTCATGGTCTTTTGTTGAGACATTTTTGAAAGATACAAATGAGAATTTTATACCATTGCGGAAGAAAAGAGACAGAACAAGTCCATTATGGATGAACAAAGATTGCCTCATAGTCATAAAATTAAAAAATACAAGTAGAAGAAATACATTAAAAGTAAAAGACGACTACGACCGGATGAGAAAGTTAGATGGAAGAAATTCGTTGAGGACAGAAAATTTGCAACAAACTTAATCAGAAAGAAAAAATCAAACTTTGAAAAAAAAACTAAAAGACTGGCAGATGAGATCAAAACTAATGAGAAAGGTTTTTGGAATTACATTAAAAGTCAGTCAAAGAGCCGACCAGGAATTCCAAAGTTGATTTCAGAAAATGGTGACTCTGTTTCTGGGAAAGGCTAATTTGTTGAATAGTTTTTTTAGCAGTGTCTTTTCAGTCGAGGAATTTATCCAATATCCCTGAAATTCCTCCTGCCACTGATGTTTTATTGACAAGTGTTTTGTTTAGTGAGGAAGAAATTTTAACTTTATTGTCTAATTTAAACTTTAACAAATCTGCCGGACCTGACGCTAGGGTGTTATTTGAACTTCGCTATGAGCTTTCTTTTCCTCTATAAATAATATTTAATAAACTTTTGAATGAAGGTGCTGTACCTCAATCTTGGAAAGAAGCATGGGTCATCCCAATTTAAAAAAAAGATAGAACAGTCCATCTAATTATAGACCTGTTAGTCTAACGTCTCTGGTTTGTAAGGTCTTTGAGCGGATTATCTGTGTTAGAATTATGGATAATTTAGAAAGTAAAAGTCTGTTGTGTAATGAACAGCATGGTTGTAGGAAGGGTCGGGCTTGCGCAATCCAGCTACTTGAAGTCCTTGAACAGTGGAGTACTAATATTGATAGCTTTGGCTACATTTACTTTGACTTAAAGAAAGCTTTCGATTCCGTCCCGCATCAACGATTATTAAAAAAATTATTTAGTTCCGGTATTCGTGGTAAACTTCTTACTTGGATTGGTGCATATCTTTCTGGTCGGACACAAAGAGTTTCTGTAAATGGGCATTTTTCTTGTCAGTCTCAGTAATTAGTAGGATTCCGCAAGGGATTGTAATTGGGCAAATTCTTTTCATAATGTTAGTTAATAGTCTACTCTCGGTTACAGATTCAGTACAACTGTTTGCTGGTGACACAAAATTATTTAGAATTGTGGATTCACATGAGATAGGGTAAGCTTACAATTAGATATTATTGAATTATGTGAGTGGTTTAGAAAGCCATTTAATGAAAATAAATGTAAAATTATCCATTTCGGTAGGAAAAATCCTTGTATTTCTTATTTTATAAACAATGTTATGCTTGAGGCTGTGGATAACGAAAAATATTTGGGCGTCATATTTTGGATCGTAGCTTAAACTTCGCGGTGCATGTTGCTGACATCTCAAAAAGAGCCAACATGAGATTAGGAATGATTAAAAGATCTTTTCGTTTTCTAACAGCGTGCTACTAGGACGTTTCCTGAATATAGTCATCTTCCATATAAGGAACGATTGAAACGGACGAAAGAATTTATTGCAAATGTTTAGAATCGTTCATGGTTTTGATAATATTTCTAAAGATTACTTTTTTTTTTATTTTAATACTGGCAGTGTCACTAGAAGCCATTCATATAAATTAAAGCACCATTACTCTAGAACTAATCTGAGGAAAGGGACATTCTGAGGAAGATGTTAATGCTACATCCCTATATGGCTGACCACCCGGTAAAATTTGCGCCGTACACGAAATAGTATAGATTGCTCATCGAGAGGCCAATGAGAATTGTATGCTTGTCTTCTATACTCAGGATTACAGTTACAGTCATCCTGGGAATCAATTAAATCAAGGCAATGCATTCTTACTGCTTACTGTATTTTTCTGAATGAACAGCATTAGTGCAATCTTGCTAAAATTGTATGCACATTAACTATTGTTACACTTCATTTTAGTTTGTAGTTGTTGCCGTAAGACAAGGTCGCAAAAAGGTAAGATTATGTAAATTATGTTATATATATATATATATATATATATATATATATATATATATATATATACATTCATATGAATGAAAATAAAAAAACAAAGGCTAGCGTTTGACACTGAATTTATATTGTTACATAAAATCAATCTTTTCCTCTGTAGAATTGAAATGCTATTATTATTGTTTTCTATCATTTATATAAATGAACACTGCTGTAAATTGTATGTGTAATACTAATAATTTAAATCCAGTTAGCACTTTCTAAGGGGTGCAGGTCAACTCGGCCACAGTCAACTCTGTCTCTTATACCCATCTAGATGTGTATAAGAGCCAGTCCTTGATCCGTAACAAAAGAGAGAAAATGTTCA